GCTATGCTTGGAATATCACGTTTCACTCAAATGAGAGAACGAATCCGGAGTTCTGACATCCGTCGACGATCAAGGATCAGGGACGCTGTCTCATTTGCCAAGGTGTCGAAAATCAGATGGGCTGGTCACGTAATGAGATTTAAAGACGACCGTTGGACTAGAGCTGTTACTGATTGGATTCCACGGGATGTCAAGAGACCGCGTGGCCGCCCACCTACCAGATGGTCAGACTTCTTTGTCAAGGTCATGAACGATCGGTTTGAGGCCCTCCATGTTCCCGGAGCGAAGAGATGCCATTGGGCTACACTAGCACACGACAGGGACAAATGGAGACGTTACTGGCGCCCGCTCGAGCAAATCGACGACTAACGGGAAGTTAAGTGATTAAGTGATAAGTGACTTAGATGTGGGGAGAAAGAGAGAAGTACATGTTCCTCTTTCTTTCTCTCCATAAAACACTGCCTTCCCCAGAACGATTTCTTTTCTTAATTCAAAGACATAGACAAGCCAATTCTTCTTAAACATAAAACACAAAGAAACATAGATAAGCAAGCAAAATACATGAGCACATGAGAATAAGAGCTTGACAGTAAGTGATAAGTAAAGTTTTTAAATAATAATGAAGCTATTGAAAAAAGCAATAAGTAAAAATATTTAAATAATAATAAAGCTATTAAAAATGTAATAAAGATGATAATACTGCTTTAAATGAGGTGGGCAGTGAAGATTTTTCTGAATTAACATTTGAGGAGATACCCAAATGACAAAAACAAGTCAAAAAATTCTGAGGAGAGATTATGATCCATAAATTAAACACCATACATAAATCTCTGAGGTGGGAGAAACTTGACTCTTAAGGAATGATGGAATTTTTCGTGGTTGGAGTGGTGAGACTATCAGATTTGAAGAGAAGCAGGAATCATACTTATTAAGGTCTTGTAGTTGTGATGAGTGTAATTACCACATTTCAGAAGGCATTAAGGATAAAAATCATATGCTTTGGTTTATATTTTGTAAGTAATTAATCTGACTACTTCAAGATGAGTGGGCAAAGGCAGACACATTGACACTGGACCAGAAAGGCAGACACATTGACACTGGACCAGGCATGGGATGATATTAATTTGGAATAGGATTTAGTAGAGCAGGTGGTAAAATGTGATGGATTTTGAAATAAAATTTTATGGTAGCACCAGTAAGACTTGCTCTGGATGCCAAGGGGAAAAAAGAACAATTAAGCTAGTAATAAGCAAAACTAATAGATGGTTTGAGGTGGGGGGGTACCGGAATAAGAAATTTATATAATTAATGATTTAGGATGAAAACTATCAGAGAACTAGCAGCTTTGATTTGGAGGGTAGGAAGAGCAAGAAAATCAGGAATTCTCTTAAGAATATAGGAAGCTTAGGAAACTGCAAAAATGCCGCCAGAAGCGAACAGCTATACATTTGAAATAGGGGGGGAGAAGTCAAGACTTCATATTTTGAAACCATCAGAGATAGTTTATAGTTTTAAAGATGGTTTTGGTTGCAATCAATAAGGACATAGGAGAGATTGAGAAGTCTGTGCACTGTTTTTTTGTTTCTACACTGTGGATGGGCTAATGATGAGACTGGGAGAGGACACAAAAGATGCAGTAAATAAATATTGACATTTTTGTTTTGGAAGACAAGATGTTAATGTCTGAGGAAGGATACTGTGTCAGCTATACCATTGCGGCTAATAAGGAATGAGAAAATGAGTTGGATTAGGCAAGATGGAAATTGTGATTTTGATAGAACAAGACAGAACCATTATGGGGGGGAGGTGAAAACACGAATAGGTTAAAAATTTTAAAAGGAGGTAATGAAATTAAGTCAACTAAAGAGACACATTTCCTATATTTTGATAAAACTAAATAGACTATATAGATGTCAATAATAGGAGGAGAATATTGAGTCAGGGGGCAAGTTTTTGATTTGTTTTATTTTTTATTTAGTTTTAAGATTAGAGATTCTGCACTGATGGAGTTCAAGAACTCTTCAAGTGGGGATACCATTTAAATGATAGGATCAGGTGATGCTTTAGAGAGGTTGTGAGGGTTGTATCTGATATCAATGACAAGCCAGAAGCATGACATGGAATATTAGGGGCAGGTTTTGAGATGGTCTGAAGGAGCGTGAAGCAAATAAGTTTTAGAACCCAGACTAGAGCCCACCATGGTCAAAGGATAACTGAATATTGAACCTCAAAATAACATTATTTAGAAATTATTTCTTGACTAGTAAATCCACGGTAACATAGTGATGTTGCATTCAAAATATTCCAGATGACCTAGAAATTCCAGTGTTGGAGATCCACCTCTCAAAGGCCCCCAAATGGTATTTTGAAAATATGTTTCTACTCTGTTCATTGAAGCACTAATCACAACAGTCAAGATTAGTGAGGGGATCTTGGAATCAGCCCAAGTGTTCAAGAACAGATGAGTCTGCAACTATACCAACAGATGAGTGGTCGGGAAAAAGTTAGGTATACTTGGCCAGAGTAGTTAGGGTGCATGCCACACACATGGCTGACCCGGGTCCCATCCCCACCACCCAGACATTCTCCCAAGCACCAGAAGCACAGAGTCAGAAGTAAGACATAAGCACTGCTGGGTGTGTTCCACAAAAACAAGACAAGAAAAGGTCAATGTACATTGGAATACTACTCAGCTAAAAGAAAAGAATAAATCATGCAATTCATAACTCCCTGGATGGAATTAGATGATATCAGACTGATTGATGGCAGTCAGAAGGAGAGGGACAGAATGAAACAATCTCTGCCCAAGATTGTGATGAAAAGAAACCTTGAGGAATGGGAAATGGCTAAAGGTAACAGAATTTGAGAGTTCAAACTACTGAACTGAGCTTACCAAGACTGTGGGTAGCAGGGTACCTTGAAACATCGGTTGTGGGGCCCTGACTCTGATGGTTGGGGTGGTGTTGGAACAATGTATGCTGAAATTTTATTATTACTGGTATTTTAATCTTGGAACCTAAATAAAACTTGAATGAAAATAACAAAAATGTATATTTAAGTATGAGATTCACAGAGAGTGAAAGGTTGACTTCACAAATGTGATGTGTGCAGTAAAACTGACATTTTTAAACAAGAGCCCTGAATTTTCATTTTGTGCTATGCCCACAAATTATATGGCCAGTCCTGGAGAGATTAGTGATTTTGAAGGAGAAATGTGTTATTTTTTTTCATTTGGGTTAATTTTTATAAGCTTCACTTTTCTCCGTTTAGCATACCATTAAAATGTTATTAAAGTTCATAATGGAAGTTTTAAAGAGACCATCTGTCAAACACTTAATTTTCAGTGTAACTCTCCTTTTAAAACAGCTCAAATTCAATAAAAATTAGGCTGAAAGTGATACATTCTCTGACTGAGGAAAGTGAATAATCAGCAAACTTAAAGGGAGCTATAAATTACAGATAGGTCTAACGTCTAAATTCATAACATTTAGATTTTTATTTTTATGAAAGTAATAAATGTTGTGGGAGGTTTAGAAAATAAATGTAAACAAAAGAGAAGTAAAATCTAAAAATGACCCATAAAGCTTAACTATTTTTAATATTTTGGTGCAGATTCTCCTAGTCTTTGTGTATCTGTCAATATATTCTATGAACGTACAGTTTTATTTGTACTTATTGGATTGTATATTAAATACAGTATAAATCTTTATTTTAAATGCAGTGCCATATTTAAGTTAGACATTCTATACATTTAATAAATTATTTCTTTAAATACTGTTAAAGTATAATTTAATATACATCAATTTTATATAAATTCACAATTTCCAAACTCACTGAATGAAAGTTCATATTAACCATCCATTTCATGTTTTTTTTTCAGCTGGATGGGGAAAAAAAAACTAAAGTGGTAATATCGCTTTTCGTTGCTGCTTGTTTGGTTTTGCTTATTGATAGGGTTAAACAGGTTTTCTTCTTCTATTGGTCTTTTTTTGGGGGGGCAACAACTGTTCTATGAATGGCATTTGATTATTTTTTCAAGGTGGTCCTTAACTTTTGGCTTTCTGTTTTTTAAAAAGTTCATTTTTATTTATTGTTACTATATCTTTGGGTTTGGGCACACACATAGTAGTGCTCAGGAATCACTCCTTGCTACTCACTCATTGATGACTTTGGGCAGGGCGTTGAAAACCGGTATGAAATTCTGGGAACTGAACCAGGGCCAATAGCAGACAAAGGGAGTGTCTTAACCCCTATGTAATCTATCAGGCACCATGAAACTATGCAAGGGAAGCACCTTAACCATTGTATTCGCTGTCTGGTAAATTATTTTTATATACAATATTCATATTTATATCGGATTGTGTGGAACAGAGCTGTCTCAGAGTGTCAGTGACATATCAAGCCCTAAAGCAGGTTTTCAGAAATCTGCAATATTTCCGTGCTTTTCTCTATGTCATTGGTTTTGTTTTTATATTTTTTTTTTGTGGAGGCCACAATAAGCTGTGCTCAAGGCTGACTTTTGACTCTGTGCTTAGGGAACATCCTCTTTGGGCTTGGGAGACCACATGTAGTCCTGGTGATCAAACCCAGGCTTGCCACTTGCAAGCAAGTACTTTACCCAGTGTATTATCTCTCTGGCCTCTGCAGTGGTTTTAAAATTCATCAATTTTTAAACATTAAAAATGCAATGTAATAGGAATTACAACTGTATAAAACCTATACATGGGTATATTTTATAATACATCTAAAATAAATGCAAACATTACTAATAAAAAATGGAAAAAGTATTGCTTACTCTGAACTTTATGTTTTTCCCATTTATTTGCTCAATTCTGGCTATCCAGCGTATGTGTCGAAAATTCTGGTAATTTGGCTATCTTGTCCACTATAGCAAATATTATATTAATATTCTCATTGTGAATACTGTTAGGGAAAACCATTTATACTGCAGAGTGTGGGATGCAATATTGGGGCTTTGCATTTCTGCTTATTTTTCTTACCCTCTCCAATGTAATTTCTTCAAATTCATATTCAATTTCAGTTCCATTGACCTGTAAATGATAAAAAAAAATAAAGATCAAAGACACATTGAGAATGAGGCAGCTGAATTTTAAACAACAATTGAAGGGTAAGTTTCACTCTCAGTGCAAATAAACCACAATTTAAAAATATCTGTGATTATTCTATCTGTTCGTTCAGATAAAATATAATCCAGCATATTCTAAAATATATTCTAAAATATATGAGTGTGACCCTCCATAAAACAGAATGAAAGCTCACTTCATCCTTTAGAATTCTGTTCTATTTGGTTAAAGAGAAAAATGACAAAAAATAGATGTCTATCTATAATAAGTAACCCATGGGTGTTATTGTGATAGTTATAAACAATGCAATTTCTTTGTATTTTATTAAATTTCCATGAATTCTTACCAAAAATTCAGTAATTAAAGGGAAGCACAAACAAACGTATGTCTTTTTTTCCCCCTGAAAATAGCACTATGAATAACTATGCCATATAAATAATGACATTTTTAACTGACTTAAACTCAGGTAATTTATTCACATTTTCCTCTTGTTATATTTACTGTGAAGGCCTGGACCTTCTAATCATGACCGTGAACTTCTGTAGCAATAACAAAAGAGCATAAGATATGTTTAAAATTTCTAGGGAGCAACCTTTAAACCACCCAACCAATCCTTGAATCGATTTGAAATCAGAGAGAAGAATGCATTTAAATAAACATAATAATATGCCTTATGTTTCACTAAATATGCATGCAGAATCTATGAGGAAATGCTTTAACATAATGTAGCGGTAGGGCATTTGCCTTGTGTGCAGCCGGCCCAGCTGAGCCGGGTTCGATTCCTCCAACTCTCTCAGAGAGCCTGGCAAGCTATGGAGAGTACCTTGCCCACACAGCAAAGCCTGGCAAGCTACCCGTGACGTATTCAATATGCCAAACACAGTAATAAGTCTCACGATGGAGATGTTACTGGGCCCACTCGAGCAAAATCGATGAACAACAGGAGGATAGTGACAGTGACAGCCAATATTCAATTCCTGTTTTTATGTGGTCTATCTCTCAGCCAGGCAAAACCTTTCTAAAAATTATTGAATTGGCTTCATTTTCTCCTCATGTTTCTTGGGCAACAAAATTAGCAATAAATTTTGGCAAGAAAGTATAATTTTTTAACTAAAACCTATCATTTCTATAGAGTCTTAAGTATTTATTTTTCAAGCCACACTTGATGGTATTCAGGTGTCACTCCTATCTCTGTGCTCAAGGGTCCTTCCTATGGTGCTTGGGGGACCATATGCAGTGCCTGGGATAGAACCTCACTTAGCCATGTGCAAAGTCAGTGCCCTATCTGCTCTGCTATTTTGTATTCTATTTTTAAAAAAAAATACATTTTCTTTTTTATTAATTTTTAAAAAAAATTTTGGGGGGTCACACCCGGCGATGCTCAGGGGTTACTCCTGGCTCTGCACACAGGAATTACCCCTGGTGGTGCTCAGGGGACCATATGGGATGCTGGGAATCTAACTCGGGTTGGCCACGTGCAAGGCAAACGCCCTACCCACTGTGCTATCACTCCAGCCCTATTTTATATTCTTTAGAAGAATTTAATGTAGTTCTTATAGACTGAGAGATTTGTGGTGGCAAGGATCAGCTAGCCTCACTGACTAAAAGAACAGAGCCCAGGAAAAAAGTAGTCATGATGAAAAAAAAAAGAAGTGAATGAATGATGGACGGCATTGATTTATGTGATTTAGATACACAGATATTTGAGTTACTGTAATTTATAATATTATTAATCATGACGCCCCATTTACATCAGTTCAACACCACACCCTTCACCAGTGTACCCATGTCCCTTCCCCAAGTTCCAAAGGCCCCTCTCGTTCTACCCATGTCCCATGCAACTCCTCTGGATCAATTCTCCTGATGTGCATCAATTCTTCTTTATTGCTATCTTTAAGTTCTATATACAATACTTATCATTTTGTATCTATCCTTTTCCTTCTGACTTAAGCCATATGATGTCCCCAATGTGTTGCAGCAAATTGCATGAGTTTTTGATAAGGTGTTTGATGTAGTATTATAAACTGAGGGGATAACTATACAGTAATGAGTCGGCATTACTAATTACAATAAATTTATGTGTCCACTGGCCACATTAAACATGTTTTTGGTGCTCTAATTACTTGAGCTAATTGGTCAATCATGTTTTACTGTCCCTACATTATCAAACAGTACTGAACAAAATTTGATTTTCTGCCTTCTACCACTTAATGACTCATCGAAGTGCTAGATGATGGTAGTAAGCTTCTGCAGTTGCATAAATGTTTTTGTTCCTCTCACATAAAACTGAAAAACAGCACTCAGATTTACTGTGTCTCCAAATTAAATTTTTGTCTTTTTGTTTTTTAACTTTTTAGTTGACAGAGGAAAGGCAAAGAGAAGACTGCATTAATGTGATATGTTTTACTGTATTCAGCATGGGTGCCTTAAACTTTTGTTTTGCTTCAGCGCGTCTTCTCTGGAGTGAAGCCCTTCACATTATTCAAGTACTATAAATAGAAGGAAAAAATAAAACGGCAAAGAGAAGAGAACACACCTCTGAGAATAAATATCTAAAGGCTTAGGGGGAAAGAAATTCTACTGGGCAGTAAATTTTGGTGGCAGACATTGCATAATTGTCCTGTCTTAAAAACACTGTTCAACAATTTATGATAATATATGCAGATATTTATAGTATAGAAGTATTTGGTATACATCCCCTAATTTTTTTATTTGAAAATTTTCTAGTCGGATAAACTTTCAGACTTACCTCTGTTCAAAGGAAATTTTGTTTCTAAGCTATAACCCCCGACCTACCCCAGCAAATAAATCATTTTCATAATTGCAGAGTAGCCAGGTTCTTTCAATAAGAAGAGAAGTTAATATTGGAATGGGATATAGTACCAATGGGAATATGATGCATTGAAAGAAAAAATAATTCATTCTATCTCTACAAGATTTAGTGGGAAAGTAAAAGATTAAAAAATTACAAAGTTCCCTGGTGAAGATCTTGGAAGAAAAGATGGCATTTAAGAAGAACAGTATCTCCCTTCTAATCAGAAGTACACGAGTGGGATGTAACATTTGTAAAAATGTAATTATTTCTCAAATTAGTATCCTGGTGGAAGGCATATTAAACTCCCCCTACCACCTCACACACGCACACAAGCACACATTTATTTAGTCAAGAGACTGTAGCACTGTAGCTCTGTCCTCCCTTTGTTCATCGATTTGCTGGAGTGAGCACCAGTAACATATCCATTGTGGGACTTGTTGTTACTGTTTTTGACGTATCAAATACACCATAGGGAGTTTTCCAGGCTTTGCTGAGCAGGTGGGACACTCTCAGAAGCTTGCCAGGCCACCAAGGGGGCGAAGGAATCAAAACCCGGTTCGGCCATGTGCAAAGCAATTGCCCTACCCACTGTGCTATCCCTCGAGCCCAGTAAAGAGACTATTTTTATTTCTTGTTTAGGGGCCACACTCAGTGATGCTGAGGACTTACTCCTGGCCCTGTACTCATGGATATCTCCTGGCAGTGTTTAGCAGAACATACAGGGTGTCCGGGCTAGAACTGGGTCCATGCAGTGGAAGCCTTACCTGTTGTACTCTCCCTCTGCCAGGAAAAGCATTTAGTGTTTGAGTGCTAAACAGCTAAGATAAAAACATCAATGCCTTCCTAATCATAATGTCATTTATTCTTCACCACAAATACCCTAACCCCCCAAAGAGATTGTGAATGTCTTCCATCATAGTCTGGGGACTTGTGATCTCTGGTCTGCACTTCTTCATTTGCTTCTGTCACTTCCTGTCAATGTGGGAGTCTGTGCAACTGCATGGATAGGGTTCCTGTTATTCCAACTCTGGCTCTGTAGTTTTCTAAAGAAAAGGGTCAAGAGAATAGATGAGGTCTCCCTGTTTGAACAGCTTTTTTTTTCCCCAGACACTCGATTTTTCAGAACCGAATGGTCCTGTGGGGCCAGCTGGTAGGTTTCTATGGTGGTGAGATATCAGATTGATGACACATGTTGTGCTCCACTGTTCTGGGCACGCAGCCTGCCTGGCTTCATTTGAAATTAAAACAAGAGACTGACCCACTCAAATTCCAACTTAGTATTGAAAATTCTAATTTGGTAAACTTTGAATGTTTTACATACTAAAAAAAAGTCTCTGACAGCCTTTAGTTAATTTCATTGCCTTTTTTCCCTTCAGTGCTATAGCAACAACCTGCTTAGAAGATGATACAATATGATTTTGAGATGTATTTTCTCTTGAAAACATTTTTATGAATGACATATAGAAATATTCCATGCTTTAATTGGAATATTAAGTAATTATTCTCTTAAATAATGAGATTTTTTTTTGTTTCTTGAAGCTTATAATTTCATTACATAAATTCAGAGATAAAAACTTCTGTTCATACCATTTTTGTATGTAAGTACTCAAATAAATGAAACAGTAATGTCAATGTTAAAGATTCTTAAGCACATGGCAAAACTGGACAGTGGGCTCCGATCTCTACCTAACACCATGTACAAAGAGATCTGTCACTGTCCTCCCATTGTTCATCGATTTTCTCAAGTGGGCCCAGTAATGTCTCCATTGGAGACTTATTTGTTACTGTGTTTGGCATATCGAATACGTCACAAATACGGTAGCTTGCCAGGCTTTGCTGTGCAGGTGAGATACTCTGGGTAGCTTGCCAGGCACTCCAAGAGGGGTGGAGGAATCGAACTCAGGTCGGCCATGTTGGCTGTGTGCAAGGCAAACGCCCTACCTGCTGTGCTATTGTTCCAGCCCACCATGTTCAAAAGTAAGACAAAATGGATTAAAGACCTCAACATCAGATCAGAATCCATAAGGTACATTGAAGACAAGGTTGGCAAAACCCTCCACGACACTGAAGCTAATGGTATCTTCAAAGATGACATGCCACTGGCCAAACAAGTGAAAACAGAGATAGACAAATGGAACTATCTTAAACTAAG